TGAAAAATGAACCCTAAATGTGGAGAAAAAAAGAACAGCTGAAAAATTACTATCTGAACTGAACAAATATTATATATGATACAATCCTCTAAAAGGATCAATGATCTATCTGGCTAACTAGCAACTGTGTGGTGACCTACTTCGGGTCGAATTCGAAACCACCCACACACAAATTAGGAAGAATTATTCGACTGTAGACTGCTGGGAAGGAATCTGACATGACGGCAATGTTTTAACTTGGACAAAGCTTCTTGTGATTTACCGAGCATGAGATCGACATAAATTGCAGTCACAGTGGCTTCGCTACTGTTCGGTACCAGGGACAGCGCTTGTGTCACAAAATGGTGGGCGCGCTCAAGTTCACCTTGAATTGCAGACACCGTGGCAAGATTTGCATAAGCATTCCGCGTGCCTCTTCTGGCTTCAGAAACATGCATTCGTGCAAGCCCTCATGATAAGGATTCTTGGCAGCTGCTGCTCTCCATTCAGTTCTTCACAATCGATGGGTTTTTCCACCCGCCACTGCTCACAGTCCTCTGAGTAACGGCAATTCAACGTTATTGCCCCCAGACAAATAAATAACCAGATGCTCTGCAGCTTCATTAGGTTTGTTCAGTAAGCAGAGTGCGTCTGCCGCATACATACATGGCCTAGAAAGATGCAAGTTCTTGAACAACCCGGTAGTTCTAACAGCGAAAGTGCAGCAGAGAGGGCCTTCAGAGGATTATCCAGTTCTAACTCTACATACGCCAGGTTAGCAAGAAGAGCTTGCTTAATCATCTGATTTTCTCTTTTTCGGATGTATTCATAATAAGAGATGGAGTTCCGAACAATTTCCGGATTAGCTCCCCCTTTGGCTCTTTCAAATCTCCGTTTGAGTTAACTAGACCAACAAACACAGTTGAAGTCGTGGAATTGATGCCAGATGACTTCTTATGGATTGGTTCATGGAAGATGGTCTGTCACTCGATTCACTCTCCTCCAAGGATGAATTGGGGGGTAAAACAGATCTGGAATTACTCCGTTAAAAACAAATCACTTTTTCTTGGGGCATGTTAAGCAGGGTCGAGGGGAAAAGAAAGGGTAAGCATAAACAGTGACAATTGAAAGAAGTGAGGGCTAAAATTAGCACCAAGAGCACACAATAGAATAAGAGCATTTTGCATATCATTTAAGACAAGCTAATACAAACATAAATAAGGTTAGACACTCCTTTTCGGATAAATTGCGACAATTTCATGCCCTCTTCACAAGACACAGTGCACTCTGAATTGACTAATTAAAGAGGCAATAGCAGACAGTTTAGGGTATTCAACAAAAAAATGATCACCAATTTCCTACAGAAATGCAAGATGGAATAAGGAATAGGTACAATGAGCACAAAATGCTAAGGATACGTGATTGAATGATCATGTCCTCTAAAACATGCCTATCAAAATTTTCAAGGTACACAAACTTGCATATCACTTTCCACAAGCTAGCTTTTTATAAAAAATAATTTCTCTCCAATCTCCAAGTACAAGGCTAGCAGTTAGTCATATCCATCTTTCAGTGGTCATTCTTAACAAGCAAGCACTTCGATGTCCTCTAAAAACGTGCTTATCTATTTTGTAAAGTAGACAAAAACACACATCACCATACACAAGCTACCTTTTGTCATTTTTTTTACTTTCCTCAACCCCCAAGTACAAAGCTAACAGTTAGTCATATCCATCTTAAAGAGGCCTCTAAAGTGTTTCAATGGATATTAGTGAGGAATTTTCCATTTTGGAAGGAGCTTCAAGTAATAACACAACAAATATTTAGAACTTACGGCAGATTTTGAAGCATCATGGCAAGCTAACACAACCTCCAGCAACAAGAGGCAGATATGAAGGGCTGTTGTCTGCATATAAATAAAAAGGGAAACGATTAAAACAAACCAACAATGCTCAAATAAAATGACAATTATATAAGATAAGTACCTCATCTATTGGTTCAATGTTTTGATACAGAGGTTCAAGAATAGATAAAACCTTTGAGTATTCATGAAGGTGGAACCAAATAACTGCCTACATCAGACCAATTCACAAGAAACACATTACTGCAAGCCATCGTTGAAAAGATTCTTGTTCCTGGGCTCTTGAAATAACAAAAAGGGGGCATACTATGTTTAGAGCCACAGAGGTATCAAATTCGTCTGTGTGAATAATACTGGCACTATCTGAAGAAAACTGCTGTATAGTTGTACCATTTCCTTTTGAATCTGAAGTAAAGTTATTACCAGAACTGCTACCAGACTCTGCCTGTTCCCTAGATGCATGACCAAGCTCCTCACAACTCTTCTGAATAGCAGAAATGGGGAAAAGATGTTAAAAAAATAATCCAAAAGTAACTTAAATCATGATCGTAACAATGCCAAACTCACATTATATGTCAATAAATCTTCTACTCAAAAACAGTTTTTGCAAGTTAGCGCGACTGGAAGAAAGGAAATGAATTCATTAGACTCAAATACATGACACAACTCAAGCTCAAAAAGTCCCTGGCCCAAATTAAACGTGATCAAATACACAAATAATTTCCGAGAGTAAATACTAACTAATAGTGGTTCACAATGGTAATTACGGTCTATATTGCCAAATGCCAAACCAAATGTGATTGCAATTAAAAAAACAAATACAAACAACTTTAAGCTAATGAGAATGTTTCACCAAAAATATTCCAATTGAGTATCAAATTAAATTTTCCATGTTAGTTTAAATTTTTAATATACTATCTGCAGCAGTTGATACTCCACCAACCTTCCGTTTCAACTGGAGAAACAAGAGTTAAAAGTTTCTTGATGAATGGGCAAGAAGAATCATTCATGACAGAAAGTACATAATTAATAATGAGCAATTTTGCAGGGGTGCACAGACATGGAAACCAGGAGGTAATAAGATAATGTGTACCTTGACATTGCTAAGGACCTCAAGCAACTTCTTTGGTGTGAGCAACCATCCCGAAAATACTCCGCAATTCCAATATTATGAAGAACCTGTTGAATTATCCATTGGTTCAAAATACTTTAATGGCACCAACAGAAAGGACAAACTTATAAAGAAGTAAAAAGCTACTCAAGTGAAGTTATTGGTGAACATATTCATGCTGAAAAATCCTGCAGCAGCTGAAATTTGTGCTCATAAACTTGATAAACTAAAAATCCATTCTGATAAAAAAATATTCAACTTCACTACAGCATGTTATAAGTACCAGTTAGCACTACAAAAACTATTTTGACACGCTACCAAAAGTTTTATCCCGAAATACATAAAGTCAAGTTTGAAAGTTGTGTATAACAATAATTTCAGCCTTAAAGCCACAAATCTTGCACTATGGAGATACTAGCACTTTTTCGTATCAAATTATCATCCATTCTTCTGCTTGGTTTAGGTTTTTGAATTAAGACACTTTCCGGTTTTGGCTTTGATAAAAACTAAATAAACTTTAAAAAGCCTAAAATGGAAAAATAACTTGAAGTAATTTTTAAACCAAAATGCGTTTTGAAAATCATTAATTTTTAATTTAGAAATAATACAGAATTCTTTACTAAATTAATAAATAGCTAGGCACTGTAGCCTAAAATGTTTTAAAAGATAAAGCATTTACTTTTATATGATATATTCAGCATGAACTACTTACCAGTTAACATTTTCATTGCTCTTTTCATTGAAATGTTTATTTAAGTGATCCCAATATGAGTAACTATATATTGAAATTTGAATAATTTAAGGGTCATCAAACATAATTGTACACAGCAACTACTTAAAAACTTGAGGAACTGCAACTGTCCTAGTTCACTCCACCTAACATTGGTCTTTCTCATCAATTACAATAAATCCATATCATGCTAGTATTGACTAATACATAACAACATGTCCTAGTTACACAAATGTCAGTGTATAGTTGTCCATCCTAACAATAAAACATGACAGCAATAACCAACTATGAAATCTGTCTTTGATGACTACCCTCTAGTCCAACTTCACCATGTATTAGATATTACTCAATTAAGCACAGTAGATAAATTGAATTTGTACTTCCATTAAACTAAACACCTGAACAGTTTAACTCAACCATCCAAGTTCCCACACCCATTTGCCGGAGCTTACGAGTATATAGCAACCGGGTACACCATTTGGTATATGGTAACATAAAAATCTATCATCTCCATGATACCCCGAGCAAGTTAATTGTCAGCAAATCAGAATTATTAAGCTAATTTATATAGTGAAAACATAATACGGCAATAACTAGACTAGTTATTGATGAATGAATGAATAAAAGGGTGAAGAGCTAAGAAATGAATCGGGTCAATCACATCCATGAACGAAACAACGCGTGCATATGCAAAGTAATTTGAAACATTTTACCTTTGGATCGCCTTCTTTCTTCACCTTTAGCTGATTCAACACATCGACACACTCGGCGAACTTTCTAGATTGGAAGCGAAGAGCCGCTTCTTTAGCGAGAGCGGCAGTGACGGGAAGGCCTCCCTCATCGTCTCCGGTGGAACCATCCCGATTCGGAGCCGACGACGATGACGAATCTCGCGAATCCATGATTATATCAGACCAATCGAACTGGCGAAAAAAATCTCAGGCGAGCGAATAAAAAACCCTAGCTTGTTCTAACCCGAGAAATGTGTTATAGTTTTCAATAAATTTTCATTTGAGGAATTTCCGTAATGAGTCCTCAAAAGTTTTAAAGAAATTGCAATGAAGGATAATCGGAGATCGTTATTTGGCCGCTCCGAGGTCGCCTGAACTGCAGAAATCAGAAGGAAAAAAAATGCAAAAGACAGTAAAAGCCTACGCCGACCGATTTCGTGGAGAGATACTGAGAGACTCCAGAACTGAATGGAAAGAGTTAAGTTCAAAAAGATTTAAATTGATTTTAGTTCAAATAAATATAAAATTATAATTAAAAAAAATTTTTCATTATATAATATTGTTAAAAATGTTAGTTCTAGACTAGACAATAATATTTTTCTAAAAATTAGAATTTTAATATTAAAGTGATTATATTTAATGCAAAGTTTTATATAAATAAATATTATGTCTTTACTTTTATCATAATATAAGTAATATCATAATATATTATTCTTAGAAAAGCAACTATTTGCTACAAATAACTATTATTTTCTGCCTCAACAATACCAACACATTTATACCTAATTTCTAATTCTTTCATAATAATAATATATTACTTTAATCAACAATCGGTTGGTTAATGGGACGAGATACTAGGTCTCTTAGTAAGGTTAAAGTTCGAATTTTGACGGTTGCGAATGAAACAAACTAGGTTGGGAGGATCGACATTACCTCTGTAATACCCGATTTAATTAATCGATCAATAGATCGATATTTACTATGGAGCATTGAATTTTGCTCTTTCTAAATAACATACATAACATTTCGTGCTAGTTCAATAATAGAGGATTGCACTGCAAAACTTTGAAAGAAACATGAAATGGGAAAAACTACTCAATCCGTAGTCCATACGGTTCTTTCTAATTGTACAAATACAAGTGAAACATGTCCAATACGGTAACCTCTACCATACATACTCTGTTGAATAACATCTACATCTAAATTTCATTTTAACAAGCGCATTGGAAACTTCAGAATCTCCATAATGTAACAATCCTTGGCGCAGACCAGTGCTTCCACCGCTCTGGTCGCAAGGAGCTTTGGTACTCATCTAGTCGCTTCTCTGTGATATCAAAGATTGAATCAGGAGCAACAGAGGAGATTGGAATCGACAAAATGTCACGAGCCATCTTGGAAAGAGTTGGATACTTCATCTGGTTCACCTTCCACCAACCCAACACGTCGAACTCTTGGACGCGGGGTAACAAGACTCTTCCAATACTGATCTAGCTCAGACTTCATTTGATGGCTACTAGTCTCCATAATGTAGCATCGAAATCTGTAAGCCCACGGTCTGAAAGAAGATTTCCCTGATGAGATTCAGTCTTTCCATGTCTCCAGCATTCCCTTCATCTGCATATGTTGGCGTCAAGGCAGTGGAAGTGCCTTGTATTCAAGAAAGAGCTCGTGAATTCCGTCATCAACAGTTTTAACATGTGGGAGCTTCCTCGATGTATGTTTTTGTGAAACTGAACTCGACAAGTTTCATTTTGAAACGAGGATCCATGACTGCGGCAATTGCCAAAACAGGCTACAATCCTTCCATACTTATCAATCTTTCATGCATTGATTTTGCAAGGTTGCTGATAAAGTGATCCTCACTCGTGATAGAATGACCCAAGTCCGCATGTATCCTCCACACTTCATGAAAGATTGTGATTGCAGTAGGTTGAGTTGTAGCTGTAAGGATGCTAGCTGCATCGAAGAGAGGTTTCAAGAAACTGCATAAAGTCTCAGCCAGCTTCCAGTCTTCCATTGATGGGGCTAGCTTATAATCTGGATCATAAGTATCCAAGCAATCAAACACTTCCTTCAATTCACAAGCAGCTAGCATTTGGTATGTTGTGCTCCACCGAGTTTGATCATCAAGAAACAGGCTCTTTTCACTGGCACTTGAAGCTGGTTTTTTACTTGAACGAATTTTTGTCCTCGGGGGATTCTGACATCTTCACGTACTTTACACTATCATGGATTTTCTGATGATCTCTTGCCCGGCTCCAAGCACATCCTTTGCCATTCTGCTTATTGTATGAGCTATACAATTTCCAATTAACAGCTGACCATTAAGAATAAGAGGATTCTAACGCAAAGTAAAGGTCTAAGATTTTCCAGCCCGGCATCACTTAGTGGATGATTAAAGGTGAGGGAAATAACTTCCCTTCCAAACTCCAGTCTGAAAGGCTAGCAGCAACGGAACATAGAGCAAATGGGAATCCGGATACGGTTCCATTATGACATTGAAAACCCGTCTGCAACTTCCACTCCACATCAACAAAGTGTCCATAATAAACACATAACCAAGCGTTTGATTTGAAGTCCACATGTCCAGTGTAAGACAAAATCGTCCAGGAATACCCTCAATAAACTTCATGAGGCTTTGCTTTTCCCTCAGGTAAGTTGCCACACAATCCCCTTGAATGGTGTTGAAACTCATTTTATCGAACCGAGGCTGAAGATTTTGAACAAAAGCTATGAAACCAGGATGCTCAACCATGTGAAGAGGGTAATCATGCATGATGATCATTTTGGCAATTTCATGCCGGTATCATCTTGATCAATGGGACAAAAGGTGTACTAGGAGATCTATAGCGTCGTTTTGGAGGTTCACTTCCACCCATCTTTGCGTTATACTGGTTGAATTGATTGTTATCTTGGCCTCGTAACACTGGACAGGTTCCTTTGGCAATGTGGCGTTTCAGATGGCTGTACCTGCTACCTTGGAACCAGTGCTATAAGCAAAACTTTGCTTGCAGCCCTTACAATATGCTCTTTCTACATCCAGCACTCACATGTTCAATGGTAAAGTACTCCACACCATGGACTTCTTTTTCCTACGCTTGATAGGCTGCGTGTCAGGAGTGGTCAAAGCCAGATGATTGTTGTTCTCCCCAGGGATTATTTCCATATCCATCATTTCTGCGTACAAGTAAACCCTGCTGCTAAAAAGCAAAATAAATTTTAGAAAGGAACTCATGACTACTACAAACTGAGAAAAGGTTCAGGAAATGATGAGGTTTAGCCAAGCACTCTATCAGTTTTTACACAAACGTTAGAAATCCATAATAGATTATAAAATCATAAGCTAATCTTAATCATAAGCACTATATCAATGGTTGTGCTGTGTGAACCAACCGAGCTAATCTACCGGTTTAAACCATGAAAGCAAAGATTGCACATGCAAGTGTTGGGATTCAAACTCGAAGCTTCCTCAATACCACTCATAAAAATGACTGCATAAACCAACTGAACTAAGTTCTACGTTCTAAATTACATAATATTTTACCATTACACGAAACATGCAAGCAACACTACGTACGTACATATGCTAGCAATGCAACAAAACAAATGGTTGTGCAATTTTGATATGTTCCAGTTCTAAAGACATCAGAATTTAGTACTCAATCACTTCGAATGTCGACGGCGTATGATGCCATTGCCGAAGCAATCTCGATCACAATAAAAACCACAAGCGACCGGGTCATCACTCGTGGATCCATCCAGAAAACGAATCAATTATAAGAAAATGGCATTACATAAACAGATAAATAGGCCCGCTTTGTGGTGAAGGGGTAAAATAGGTATTTTACATATAAATGGGCTTGACCGGGAAACGTATAACAAGGTTTACATTACAAACAAAACAAAGACCCCATTAAATTGAATCGAGGGATCTACCGCCCAGATCGTTAAAATCTCAAAAAGGGCAGGCAGACTGATCCATCAAAAACCTGAAACAAGAAACGGAAAGGAGCTCATAGATTCATTTAAAAGACGAAGTCCCAACTTCTGTAAACTATTCAGGACAAAAGCTACCAACGATTTTCTCGTGAAAATTTAATCAAACGTAAACAACGTAATTCTCAGAAAATTCAAACATGGAGCTTCAAAAAAAATAAACCCAGAACTCGATCAAGCAAAGAAAAGAAAACACTAAAAATACAGAAAGTTGGATTCAAAGAAGTGAAAAATAATAATAGCGATGTGTTGTTGGTTTACCGGTGAAAAGGCCAAAGAGAAGCGATCTCGGGGCGGGTTTGAAGGCCGGAAAGCGACGCCCAAGGCGGAGAGATAAGGCTTTGCAGGAAGAGAGCGGGAGGAGACTAGGAGGAGGATTTGGGCTTAGAACAGACCCGAAAAGCTAATTGGACCTAAAAGAAGAAAAGGGGCAAAGGTTAAAAAAATGTGGGATTTTGAGAGAACAAAAAAATAACCTTGTAGGGTTTTTGGGAACTGGGTATTCAAAGCTTTTGGGAACTGGTAAGGGTACATTTGGTTCCTGCTTATCGGTTCATCCTTCGCCAACAAAAAACGAGCCGCCTACGAGACGGACCACAAGGCCGAGCCAGCCCACCCCCTAACATGGCTTCTTATTTAGTCATTTCCAATTTATTTAGGGTTTATAAGGTTAGCTGATATTTGAATTGGAGGCCATTGTTATTGAATTTTTAAGGTGGTGCACTGCAAATTTTGAAAGTATCTTCTGTAGTACTTGTATATAAATTTGATGTTTGATATTATGCGTGGGTTTAAGTTGTTTTTAAATTGCTCGATGTAAAATTTATGCTTTAGTTTATGCATAATATTTTTTTAGTAAATTATACTATAAATTCTAAATCTAACTCTAATCTTACATAGATTATAAGGAAAGGAAGGAGAATATTTCTAGCGGAGTTAGAACTCGTGACTCAAAAAATATGAGAAAATCAAACTAATTAATATTTTCATATGATATAATCAAAATCAATCAGTAAATTTTGATTTATAATTTGAATAATTTAAGATTTGGAGCATTTCTCTATTTTCTAGCATATACAAAAGAGAGAAAGAAAAAAAAACAATGATCATATATTTTGATAAATTAATTAATTTTGAATTTTAAATGGTAAAATTACAATTTCAATCCTTTAAAAATAAATAACGATAATAAATTTACTAGAAAAATAAATTACCAACTATTACTTATAATTTTCTCTTTCTCTTATCTAGTCTTTTCAGTTTTTTAGTAAGATACACAAACAGTCATTATATTATGCTTAAATAATTTCTTTAATTAATAAGATATTAAAAGATAAAGAAATTATTATTTTGGATAATTAAGATTTATTACCCAAAATAGCAGTAAGCTGCTACAAAAAAACCCAATCAATGGAACAAGAAGGGAACTATACAACAAAAAATTATACCCCAATGATTAGAAAGAGCTAAATTTGTGTTATCTAATCTATTAATATTCCTATTACTTAGAAGAGTTCTTACTATCTCCTTAATAGTGTTGATAATTCCTTCTTCGGTTCTCCAAATCCCTTTGAAAATCTTTCGATTCCTTTCCTCACAAATGGTGTAGTTAAATGCACACCATGAGAGCTTCAGAATACAAGAAAGCAGTGATTTACCTTTCCATGAAGAAGACGCCCACTCCAGTAGGTTGGGTTCAGGTCAAGAAAGTATGTTCAATCCAGACAGTTGGAGGATTGATCTCCAAATGGAGCAGTCTTTGAGCACTCAGCAAAGAGGTGGATTCTAGTTTCCTTTGCTTCAGAATAGAAAATGCAGAGATCGTCGGTTACAAGGCCAAAACGTTGCAGTATGTCCCTAGTGGGAGTGATCCATAATAATCATCCATGAATAATGTTGCGCTTCGGGATATGAAGAGGATACCATATCAGTTATGCCATGAGACTTTAATGTCTTTAGGACGAATCTCATCCCAAATTTCTTTTGTGCATTTCCTGCTGTTGCAAGCACTGGTTGAGCAACACTTCTAATTTTCAGCATTCGCCTGAAGCTCCAGCTAGCACTCGGTGATTCTTCCATGATCCAGAAATCTTGTTGCTTAATTATGTAGTTATGGATCCAAGCAACCCATAGAGAACCTTCCCGCAAGTAATTTTCTGGTAAGATGAATTAGGCACGTAATATTCCAGGACTTGATGTCCTTTAATCCTAGACCTCATTCGGATTTAGGTTTACAAATTTTCTCCCAACTCACCCTTGCACCAACAACAGTTATGTCCGAGCCTTTCCAAAAAAATCTGGAACATAATTGCTCAATCTTTTTGATAATGGACTATGGTAAGACTAGTTGTCTGCACCAAAAATTAGCAACGGTATAGAGAACAGTCTTAATAAGCTCTACCTGCCTGCATAGCTCATCTTTTTCCTAGACCGTTGATGAAGTTTGCTCTTGATATTGTCGAGAAGTGCTTGACAATCTTTATCAGTAAGTTTTTGGTGACAAGTGGAATCCCCAGGTATCTAACAGGTAGTCTACCATGTTTAAAACCATAAGAAATGATGAAAATCAAGGTTATGAGCAGGAATGCCAACAGTGAAAATCTCGCATTTACCTGCATTAAGCTTCAGTCCAGAATACTCATAGAAACCGTCCAATACAGTAATGACTCCCATAACAGACTCAAGATTACCTTTGCAGAAAATTAATAAGTCGTCAGCAAAAGACAAGTGAGTAAGTTTAATTTTCTTGCATTTATGATGAAAGACAAAAATCCTTTAGAAGCAGCTTTATTGAGAATATTGAAAAGAACATTTATTACCAGAACGAACAAAATAGGGGAAAGCGGGTCTCCTTGTCTAATTCCCTTAGCTCCCTTAAAATAATCAATCAAGCTTCCATTGAAAACAATGGAGTATCTAGCATCCGAATAGCAAGAAATTATTAAATCTACTAATTTATTATAAAATAATTATTGTACGATGTAAAATAATAATGAATTTAGAGATCCCTTATAATAATTTAATCAAAATCATTCACTTCATAATTATTTAAAGAATGATTTTATAATTTTAAAACTTCAATTTTAACGTAATTTATTTTGTTAATATTTTTCCTAGTAACCATCCACCGAAAGCTCGATACACTCCATCGCACAAAGCACAAAACTTTCATAAAAGCAAAGTGATGGCGTTTGATAATGTATCAAATCAAATCACAGTTTAAGTAATAAATAATTATGTGCTTAATCGCTAATTGCCAGCTGATTTAATCATGAATCCACCAACTCCACTATGTGGTGGGTTAATCGCATGTTATTGTCATAATATTATAAAAAAATTATATAAATCGATCATAATAATAATTTATGCGATAATCAACCAAATAATCTATAACTAGATATAAGATTATAGTGCAATTTGATTATTAATCTTTCGAAAATTAATAATTCTTTGTCAGTTACAGGTTTCATCTTAATACTTTACCAAAATCTTTAGAGAATCTAACTCCTTAAACAAAAGTTTTTAATAAACACACCTAGACCAGATAGGTAAGATCTATGACCGGCCACGTGATAACAGAATAAAATCTAAAGTTTAATTTATATCTATCTAACTATCGACCAACCAATACTACAATAATCGACACCGTAAAGAGAAGGGACTACTTGCAACTCACCGACCCTTTTTCTTCTTCGTGATAATTTTTTTTATTTTTTTTCAAATATCGAGCAATAAACGTTTAATCAATCGTGATTCTTGTTCAAATTAAAAACAATGAAAGTCAGGTTCAATAAACTTATTTGCTCTCATGAATAATATGGACTCCTATTCGAATCAGAATGGTTACAGATAAAAAGTGTCCCAAAACAGCATATCACGACGAAGCAGGCTCTGTTCCGGGAAAAAACGGGTGTACTCTGTTTGCCAACACCAACGTTCCACAGGGGGTCTTTCGCACATGCTCCCACGTGACGTCTATTCTTAATTTCAGTTGGTAGAGCACAAGACTCTTAATTTTGTACTCCTGGGATCGAGTCTCACGGAAGGCATTTCATAATTCGGAGGTCTCCACGGAAGCTGCTCTCAACATGATGTTGGGGCAATCTACTATCATACCTCCCTTACCCATTGCATATGGAAAAAAGGGTCAGCTAAATTTTTTATTATTCCATTTTCATTTGGGCTTAATTCTATTTAGTAATGATTATTGACCTTTAATCTTGATTCACTACCCCTATCCTCCACTTTCATGCTTCATTGAGTGCATCTCACGCTCCCCCGTTGGATGGTGTTATTTTTACGGATATTTTATTACCAATTAGGCAGCGTATAATACTAATAACAATTTAAAAAACCATATGTAATTTTATACATATTTAAAGTTTGTGTTTTAATAACATATAGGGTAAAGTACACAAAATGGTCCATTGACTATAAGATTTTGTTAAACCTTACCTATTAAAAATTACAAAATGTCTCTCAATTATAGGGCATTGTTTTGTTGAGTTCCAAGACTATTGAAAGTTATAAATGATAATTTGACTATTCATATATTTCAAACTCAATCTTTTTCATTAATAATTTGGTGGTCATCTAAGCTAGACGTTAACATGTAGATTGAAATATGATAAAATATGGTCACAATGTCAGAGGTATATTTTGTGGATTGAGTTCATTTACAATATGCGTCAAGCCAATACTTGAAACATTGTCGTCGAGTCAATGCTTAAAACAACAGCAGTGCTAGTAAAATCATTAAAGTATAATTTTATCATATCTCAATTCGTAGGTCAATGTCCAACTCAATGAACATTAATTCGTTAAAACAAAAGGATAAGTTTTGAACATATGGAAAGTCAAGTGACTATTTTGTAATTTTTAATAGTGGAGAGACTCAACATAAAACGTCTTATAATTAGAAGATCATTTGTGTATTTACCCTATATATATATATATATATATATTATTAAATTTATAAAGTTCAACATTTGAATTATTGTTTTTTTAAATTATATTTCTTAATTCATGATGAGATAGTATCTTCATGGAGAGCTTGTAATTCGATTTCATCCATTAATTAATAAAAACAACAACAACAATAATAATAATAATAATAATAATAATAATAATAATAATAATAATAATATTTCTCTTCTGTTAGTGTTAATGGGATGAAAACAAAATTGTAGTAAGTTTTTTTGTTTAAGGTAAACTACCGCCAAGGTCAGTAAACTATTAAATCACTTCAATTTTGATCATTGAGCTAAAAATTTATCAATTACATCACTAAACTTTCAATTTAATTTCTATCAAGCCATCAATCCAATGATAATTGGACAATTACGAAACTTGAATACTAACACATTTACTCATTATTTACCTATTTTATCAAATTAGTCTTAATTTTACTTAGAAATAATTTTATAAATTTAATTCTCTAATAAGATGATTAGATTACATTTAGTAAATATTTAAAATTAGTTATAAATTAATAAAATATATAAATAAAGAAGAGTAAACATGTTATAATTTTAACTATGATCAAATTGATAGAATATACAAGTGAGGAAGATCAAATATAATTATAAATATTTATAACTACTACGTCAGCATGTTGGTGGCTTTAGAAACTAAATTAAAATTTAGTGACCTAATTGATCAAATATTTAATTCAATAGTACAAATAGAATTGACATAATAGTTTAATGAACATTTGGGTAGTTTACCCTTTAATTGACCGTATAGGAAAACAAGTTGGAATAATAAGACAATACTAAAAAGCCAGGTTTCAGTAAATCTTAAACGAGGCTCCCAATATTTCTCGGGATTGTGTAAAAGAAATGTTCCCCTCGTTTCTGCTATAATTACCCCTCTTCTCCTTCATTTTCACCACATAATAGTTTAATGAACATTTGGGTAGTTTACCCTTTAATTGACCGTATAGGAAAACAAGTTGGAATAATAAGACAATACTAAAAAGCCAGGTTTCAGTAAATCTTAAACGAGGCTCCCAATATTCTTCTCGGGATTGGTGGTAAAAAGAAATGTTTCCCCTCGTTTCTGCTATAATTACCCCTTCTTCTCTCCTTCATTTTCACCCAATAAGCTCAACCTCCCTTCTTTTTCTCTCAGCTTTTTGTCTGTCATGTTTGTGTTTGTTCGAGCTTTAGGGTTTGTGTTCCACGAGAAAGGGATGGAAGAAAAGGTGAAATGAAACATGGCCCTCTCTGTGTTCTTCCACAGCTTTCTTGAACTGCAACTTCGTCTTAGATCCTTCTTTCTTTACTGTTAGTTGTTGTGCGTATATAAGCGGTGCTGTTGCGGTTCAATAAAGCTGCGGGAAGATACTGATAAGGTCAAAGTGAGAATTTTCAAGATCGATCTGTTCCGGGATTTGAAAAATGCTACTTTGGGTGCTTGATTTTTTTCCTTCTTTCTTTCTAATCCAGTTTAAGAGTTTTTGCTTCAGTGATTTGACTGTGAATGAAGATAAATATTATATTTATATATATACACACACAAGCATATACTGTAGGTATACAATTTCCATGCTTATATGCTTTAAAGAACAAAGATTTGTCTTAACCCCGAACTGGTTATGTTTTGTTTTTCATTTTTATTCTGTCAATGATATATATATATATATATATATATATATACACAGAGAGAGAGAGAGAGAGAGAGAGAGAGATGTTCAAGCTTTAACTGCCATTGTCTTTTGTATCGCCTTGTTTTCTGCTACTTACTAAGAGTTCTTTTTTCTTTCTCATGGCTGCAAGCTGCAATTCCATGGCTATAATTCTGGTGCCAACTGCTGCTTTTTAAAAAAAGTTACTCCTAATTTGCAGTAACATTGTAAGAGAAGAGAGAGACAGACAGAAAGGGATGAAGATGCCTGTTTTGTAGTACTTGGAATTATCTATAGGGTATAGATTCTTGTCTTTGCTGATTATTTTTCTCTCTTTGTTTTTGGATCTCTTTATCTTAATTGCTTTGACATTGTTTTATTTATAGTAGTAAAGTATACCCCTCCATTTGTAGGTTCCATTGTCCTTGACTTGAGGTTGAAGAAGCTCTCTACTTGATATTTGTGGACAAAATTCCAGCAGTTATCAGCTGATGGATCTGCACTTACCCTTTCATACGGTAAATGTTAAACTTTCAGTCATTTTTATACATTTCCAAACCCACCAAATATTCCATTGTTGCCAATTTTTCTTTTAGTACTTGAGCAACTATGATTCAGCGCACTGTCAAGAACTTGTAAGCAATATTTTTTTTTAAACAAGAATAGGGCTAGTATTGAATTATGCAGCATTAAAGTTCCAGTTATATTCAGCGATGAACCACTGGAAATAGGCTTTAACCTACCCCCATTTGATATCCCCACCGATTTGTTCAAGTCCAGTTTTAACCATCCTTTCCATTCAATTGGATTTGAGTGTGGAGTTGGTGGGTGAATGAAGGTTTTATCAAAAGAACAAAACTTTATATGACATAAGATGCCTGGATGGATCAAGTTAAGAGGACTGCCCCACTTTTGATTGCATTAAGATAAGGGTTAATTTCTCTTCATGTGTGTATATATATATATATACACACACTTTTTTTCAGCTATTTCTAAGAATTACTCAACTATTATAATCGGTATGATATCAATACTAAGTGTCAACATATGAACTTTCATTAAAGATGGAGAAAAGGTGGATTTTTTTCTCTCGACTAGACTATTCTCATCATCATTGACCCATCATTCTCTCTAAAACCACCTATTATAATTCTCCGTCCAAATCAAAATAGGTGAAGGAACTACGATTGCCTCAACACAAATTGTTGCATCGACAAGATTATACCAAAAACATCTCGTCTTGTACCAAAGGCATTGAGATTTGAGAATGTTTCAATATCAGATCTGAAAGGTTCCAGCGTAGCTTGCTAAGGTAATAAACTAGTAGAAACATGGAGTGTGTGTTTTTTAATACGCAAGTGGATCTACCTAGACCAACTAGATATGTGTTGTAATGTGTGTGTGTATTTTTTAATGAAGGGATGATTTTTGGTTTGCAGCAATAAAACAAGTCCTGTAAGAAAGTACAACATTCAGGGTGAATCCTAGATGTAGCTACTTTTAATTATTTGATCGATACATTCATGTCTTGTATTAATGCTGCCAACGAATCAAGCCGTATAAGTGTTGTATCCTTTTGCTTTTTTGGAAGGAAAGATATGGTTCAGAGTTGAAAAGCTGTGACAGCCTTGTGTTTCGTGAATGTCTACCATTTTTAACTGTGTTGCAGCATTTGTCTTGAAATAATAACAGTTGAAACCAGTGCATGGAAGAACCTTGGCAAAACCGTCATGCGTGATGGATCGTGGGTTGCAGCGAGGAGATTTTTTTAAAGAAATGTGAATTCAAATGGCATCAAGAATTACATTCAATCTGATACGCCCCAGTTTATCAAAATAAAACCATACAAAATTGTCAATAGACAAAGCCCATTGCGCGAGTGAGTGCGCGACTCAATTGGCTGACCTATTAGTGTTTCAGTGAGGAGATGGTTTTGAGATGTGTTGATAAACAAATGGACCATGACGGTTAGAGGCAGTTCATCCCTTTTTAATTTGGGTGGAGAGTCGTAGTCATTGACAGTGTAAAGGTTCTTTGTCTTTATGAAGATATAGAAACAATTGATAGGGAGGAAAAATGAAGAGTTTGATCCCTTCTCTCGTCTTAATCGAGAGAATTTATTAGTATTGGTGTCGACGTTAAGTTTATTATCGTTTCTCGTAGGTTGATAATCTTAGTAGATACGATCAACTATCAATAGATTTAACCAATGCTTGAAAGAACCTAGAGAAAACTGTCATGCGGGATGGATTGTGTGTTGCAGTGAAGAGATGGTTTTGAGATGTGTTGATAAGAAAAATGGATCACAACGGTTAGAGGTAGTTCATTTATTTTTAATTTGAATGGAGAGTCGTAAATCATTGAATATGGATAAAGAATGAAGAGTATGATCCATTCTCTTGGTTTTAATCGAGAGACTTTATTAGTACTGGTGTCAACTATAATTTTGTTATCATTACTTGTAGATTGATAGTCTTAGTAGATATGATCACTAACAATAGATTTAACGTGCTTGAATGAACCTTGAGAAAACCGCATGCGCGATGGATCGTGTGTTGCAACGAGGAGATGGTTTTGAGATATGTTGATAAAATGGATCACGACGGTTAGAAACAATTCATCCCTTTTTAATTTGGGTGGGAGTGGTAAGTCATTGACAAGTGTCAAGATTCTCTGTCTTCATGAAGAGATAGAAAATGATTGAATAAGTAGGAAAAATGAAGAGTTTGATCCCTTCTCTCGGTCTTAATCTAGAGACTTTATTAGTACTTGTGTCGACTATAAGTTTATTATCATTATTCGTAGGTTGATAGTCTTAGTAGATATGATCAATTGATAATAGATTTAACCAACGCTTGAAAGAACATTGGGAATACCGTCATACGCGATGGATCGTGTGTTGCAACGAGGAGATGGTTTTGAGATATGTTGATAAGACAAATGGATCACAACGGTTAGAGGCGGTTCATCCCTTTTTAATTTGGGTGGAGAGTTGTAAGTCATAGACAAGTGCCAAGATTCTCTATCTTCATGAAGAGATAGAAAATGACCGAATATGGAGTAAAAATGAAGAGTTTTAACCCTTCTCTCGATCTTAATCGAGAGACTTATTAGTGAGATGTGTTGATAAGACAAATGGATCACGACGGTTAGAGGCGGTTCATCCCTTTTTAATTTGGGCGGAGAGTTGTAAGTCATAGACAAGTGCCAAGATTTTCTATCTTCATGAAGAGATAGAAAATGACCGAATATGGAGGAAAAATGAAGAGTTTTAACCCTTCTCTCAATCTTAATCGAGAGACTTATTAGTGAGATGTGTTGATAAGACATACGGATTACGATGGTTAGAGTCAATTCATCCCTTTTTAATTTGGGTGGAGAGTCGTAAGTCATTGATAAGTGTCAAGATTCTCTGTCTTCATGAAGAGATAGACAAGGATTGAATATGAAGGAAGAATGAAGAGTTTGATCCATTATCTCGGTTTTAATCGAGAGATTTTATTAGTACTGGTGACGACTGTAAGTTTATTATCATTACTCGTAGATTGATAGTCTTAGTAGATATAATCGATTGACAATAGATTTAACCCTAGTAGGTTGTAAGACTGTCAAAGGTTGTGTCAAAAGATTGTAATTTTCCGAGAGATATTAGGTATTAAAGACCTTTCTTTTTGAGATATTCTTCCGGGGGGTTTCGTAACCCTTGAGGTGCATAAGAGATCAGAGATGCTCCTCAATTTTTCATTGGTCCCCCATGGTGATGTTTTAGGTTCAACAAAGTTGTCATTTATCGTTGTTGGGGAAACGTTTTAGATTGAGAAAAAATATAAAAGGGGGAGGCCCCTCCCCTCTTGTTGCAGTTTCACGTGAGTGGCTTGCATATTGCTGAATCAAGTTATACCTCAAAAGCGACGTGACTGAAACCATTTTCCCCGACACATGGGGGCGGCGCGTTGTCGCTTTGCCTTGCCACTTCCCTTTCGGTTGATTTGATATCCATGGGTTATTGGCTACCTCACCGTCCAACTGCTCTAATTAACTAACAATTCATTTGGGAATCAACCAGCTCGGAAATGGATGGGTCCTTCCTTTGTTTGTTTTAGAGCAAGATTCCTCCATCACCTATTTTGCAGCTTTCTAATGGCCCCTTCTCCCTTCTTTTTCCCATCTTGATTACACCCACTCTTTCTTTTGGGAGTTTTCAATTAGCTGAGATTCTTCTCAATTCTCATATTTCTTTTAACTTTAATTATGAGTCGCTTATTGTAGATTCTTACCGGTAATTTTTTAAATGTTGCATAAATTGAGTTAATTCCGCTATACATCCTCAAATTAGAGCTTTCTTTCTAAATTAGTCTCTAAATTTTTGGACATTTCAATTTCATTTCCAAACTATGACTTCAATTCTAAATTGATCCTCAAACTTTTAAACATTCCAAATTCATCCCCCAAACTATGACACTCATTCTAATTTGATCCGCATGCTTTTGAACATTCTAATAACATCCCTCAATATTATTCAAAAGTTTGGAGTCCAACATCAAATGAGAGTCATACTTTGGGGATGTATTTGGAATGTTTAAAAGTTTAGGGACTAATTTAAAATAAGAATTATGGTCTACAGATGAAATTTGATTGTTCAAAACTTAGGGATCAACTCTATTTTAAAATGTTAAAAAAGTTTATGAACTGTGAAAACGAGAAAGGAAGAAAGAAAAAATTATGAATCAAATGAGAAAGACTTGTACTCATTTTCTTACTTTAAGTCTTAACTGTTTGATTAATAAACTTTTAATTCTTTTACCGAATAAAATCTAAATCATTGGTAAATATATTCATTCCAAGATATGCACCTAAATTAATTAGAAACATAATGTTTAAAAATCTTCAATATCATAGGTGTTACCTTAACTAGTACTCAATCGAGTATTATTAAATATTATAATGCATTAAAATTCATAAATAGAATTGTTAATTACCGCATTTGATAAAATTTTGGTTGCATTAGAAAACTACAAGTTTACTGTGCTTTTGAAACCAAGGAATCGATGTTCCCCGTCCCCATTGTTTGATTAAACGCATGCCTCTGTGGGTTGGGGAACTTCGACTACACTTTCACGTGATGTTTGAATCAAAATTTTGAGGGGGTAGCTGTAATTGGCAATCAGGTTATTTACCTCAAGGATGAGGCTTCATTTGTTCATTTTCCTTTGAGTTTACAGTGCGCATACAAACAAGACCCGAAAAACCCAAGAGATTGGCCAACAACATTCACCTGACAGCAAAAACAGCAAGGCAGGTGAGATGGCTATACCAGATTAAGCGAATCTTTCATGTAATGAGCCCTTAGGAGCCCGTACTCACCAAATCGAAGGGAAGCCCGCCAAACAGTAGCCACCCCAGTCCAATAGTAAAAAGATCCTATCATAAAACAAATGTCAGCAAAACCTCAATGATATCAGGTGATAAGCTACATAAAAGGAGAGGAAAGGCAAGAATCCATTGGATCTGTACACAAATTTAAATATAATTTTACCATTCTTTAGGAAACATTACTACATATTAGGGGCAAAGTTAGAGAATACATATTAGGAAACATTACCACAATTTTAAATGTAGTTTTACCACATATTACCAGCAAAGTTAGAATTTTTGCAATAGAGGTCCAGATTGAACTATAAGTTTTTGGAGGTTAAAATATAATTTTACCATCCTTTAGGAAACATTACCTAACATTTTTAAGAGGTCAAGGTCCTCTGCCTGCCCCCACAGGCCT